ATCAATGATGTTGTTTCCCTTTAAAAAAATTTCTATCCATATTTCAGCATCAGTTGGATTAGGTTCTTTCATGATGCATATCACAGCTTAGATATTTAACAGCTCTGATGGGAAAAATAATAGAGCAATAAAAAAAATAAAAAATAAAATCACCAGTTCTCACAAAATAAATAAAAATCACTTGAGGATTTAGCCCTGTTTTCTGGCACTGCATGTTGGCACCTCAGAAGCGTGAAAGATAATGAAAATACTCTCTTGGATGGATAACTAATGTTAGTACATACACTAAAATACCCCAAACCCGCTAACATTTAGGGAGGAAGATGGATTTTGCACTTTACAGGTTAATGCAGAGACTGTTAAATAACTTCAAATTTTATCATAGCCTCCTCCACTTTTAAACTGTAGAGGTGAGTGTGATAACAGTGAAAAATTAAATTCAGGTTAGATTCTATCGTTTGAGATGGGATGGTTTTGACAAGGGTTATCTGCACTGACAAAGACTTCATCAAGAGTGTCAGCCCCTTTGCAGAACCAGAGGGTGATGCTCCATGCCATGTTGCTTACTTAGCATATGAAGGACAGATGTCTGCTAAACAATGCCTAATCACTCCTGACTAGAAACTGACCTCAAAAAGTCTTTCAGCTACTGCAAGGCAATAGTGAAGAACATAAATAGGACATCTGCAAAGACAACAAAATCCAGTGTTCACTTAGTAAGGCCAGCTTCTACAACAGAATGAGGTGTTTAAGGCCATCAACTGGGAAGACTGGTTCTATACTTTAGGAGAATGCTCACAGCCTGCCATGCAACTTGGTCACTTTAAGCAGAAGAGCTCTATCTGCAGATCCATTACCAACCAAGAACTCCAATCACCTTCAGAGTTCATACTTACCTCACTATTATGAATGACATGCGTGAGGCTTTGTAAGAACTGCACTTTGGTAGCACACAGAATAGAAAGCAATGAGGATGAAACAACTGATTGCCAAACAGTAACTTATAGTTGCACACAGTGATAATCAGCTTTGTTTTAGCTGTCACTAGTGCAGGCTAATTTCTGCTGCTTCTTTAAGATATGACTGACTAAAAAGTTCAACATCCATATATTATCTGCCACTTCTGGGATTTCCAAAAAACAAGATTTATTTTTAAGGGAATCTGCTGTTTAGTTGCAAGTTTCCTTGAATATGGAATACAATCTGGCTGTCAGAGAAAGCAAGGCCATTGATCACAGAAACTGCAGAAAACACCTGTCTAAAATTAGGACTGGGTTTCTTGAATCTACACTAGTATAAATTCATGCATATTTAGAGTACTCCAAATTAAAACTTTCGGTAAGAGGAATGAATGTTATGTTCACAGAGTTACAAAAGTTGATTCGTGAGCTGTCAGACACGTCTGATGTAAGCATTCCTCTGTTCATCAGGTGGATTTTCCTTTGAAAGTGCTTTTCTTTTTAACCACTGTTGAGATGAATTAATCTTTTCAACAAAGCGCTGATCCATCCATTTTGAGAAGACAGTATGGCCTTTCTCAAATGGAAAATGAATCGCAGCTGTCCTTCCTCTCTGGCATCCGAGCACCTCTCCCAAGCTAAGCCATACCACCTCAAATATTAATTTTCTCTTGAAGCATGAAATTCCAGATTTTTTTTCCCCCTGGAATTTTAATGAGTTTACCCTGCATTACATGATGAATCAAGATTGCTTAATTTTCTCATCTGAAAACACTGCAGAAGGAAGGTAAAGCAGACCTAATTACTGCCATAATGAGCCAACTTTTTTTGTAAATATCTTGAAAAGGAATTCTGAAAAGGGCTGACTAATGATTTTACAATTAGGAGCCCTTTGTAACCAAGTATTTTTGTTGTAATTGCCCTGAAGATGAACCGAGGAATTCCTTAAAGTAATGGTCAAGATCAAAGCCTAATTAAAGCTACAATACTGTCCCCAAAATTTGAAGGGCTAAACTCCTCTTGTCTCTTGTTATATTAGCAAACTACAAAGACGGATATTTTCTCCTTTTCTAGGGTAGCAATTCAATTACCCTGTAAGAAAAGACATGAAATATTTTGAAGGTGTAACAGCAAAGGTAGAAATTAATTTTTCTACCAAGTTAGAGCACGGAAGTTCTCTTTTTCTCTCATACGTTATTTCCTAGATTACATTTGCTCAAAACTTCTCATGTATTACCTGGATTTTCACATTAATTAAAATACTGCTGCTTTTACTTCACACTTAGCAAATCTCCACTCTGTAGTTCAAAGCAGTAGAACCACTGAAGTAATTTTTGCAGTTTTGGAAATGTAGCTCAAGTATGGTTTTACCTCAGCTGATTTCTCTCTTCTCCCACACTAGTTTGTGATTTTTAACTTAGTTACTAACACCATCTTTCTTCAAATACCTTGAAAGAATTAGCAAATCCCAGTCCACAACACTGAAACTGCAAATTGTTTCCAAATGGTTAATATTCTTGGAACCCAAACCAAGGGAATATCTAACATGTCCTTCTGAAGAGAGACTGCAAATTAAGAAATTAAACAGTTTTGAAAGCACGAGATACACAAGTAAAATGTAAGTAAGAAGAGAAAAAGGGTTTCACAGCCTATGCTTGTTAAGATTACCCTTCTTGGTGCCATGTCATAACAGCCATGGTGCAGCAGTCAAAGCTGGTGATGTCTGAAGAAAAGCTGCTGATGCCTCACGACTGCTCCCACGAGCTGCCTGTATGTGTCTGTCCTGCATTTGATCTTTCAGAAAGAAGTCTCAAACCATCAGAGTAGCTGTCTTTTGCAAAGGAAGTTACTGCCACATCGATTTTAAGGATCTGAACACAAAATGACTTATGTTTCAAACCAACAGTTTCATGTGCTACCTATTAAGCACACAGTCAAATGTATTAACAATTGCCATTCTGGCACAGTAATTGTGTTCAGGAGCACGAGAAGTGGACTACACTTCCCTGCCTTACAAGAGGAAGGGTTTAACCCAAACAGCTTTTGAGATCTTTCAGCTCAATGTAAGGGTGATGGTGGCAGTCACTTATGTTACATTATGTCCTGGGATATGAACATGACTAAAGTAAATTAACATGGACTGGGTGAGACCATGTTCTACTCTCCAGTATCTCTGCTATGAGAACATACACAAAAAAAAACAAAAAAACCCCACCAGAAATAAAACCAACTTCTCTCAGAAAAGGTCAAAAGATACCAGAATTAACATTTTTTTGCCTAGATTCCCTTACTGAAGTTTAAAGAATTCCTTTATTTCTTTGGCAAGAAATTGACTTGCTTTGAGATACAACCTTTTTGCTCTCTGGTTGATGTACTTCCACAGCTACCTCACTTTACAGAAGTCAAAGATTAAAATGAAGGCTGTATGAAGACACAGGTTGTATTACATTATATATTTTACAAGTTCTGACAAAAGTGAGAGATTGTCTAGCAAGAAGTGAAACTACAAAAGCAGGTACCTTGGAGGGGGAAGGTACAAGGAGGGTGTCCATCATGCTTCTGGATGCTCAGATAAAACAGAATTGTGGACACAAGGAACATTCAAGTACTCTACAGGCAAAGCAAGGTCAAAAATTAAGAAAGCTAACCAGTGTCAAAAAGCAGGACATGATAAGTAGGCAGAGCAAACTGGGCACAGAAGAGGAGTTAAAATCCTGCATCTTGACACTCCTTTGCCTTTGAATTAAACTTTATACTGAAAGATTATTAAGTCAATGAGGAAGGATGTAAATAGTAAAACTGTAGTCTACAAACGCTACCAGATGCTGAAAATCAAAATGTAGCTAAACGTACCTCGTCTCCAATTGCTCTATCCTCAGTAACCAAACTAGTACATAACTATAAAGATATGGTAATTACAAGAGGCAAATAAGCCAATGACCAGAAGCAGAAAACACAGCAAGCCATCAGGAGAAAGTCCTAGGCATATGAACACTCGGAATGGGAAGTATATTCACTTCAAGTAATCAAGTTTCAGTCTTGATCTACCTTTCTTCAGCAACTTCAAGTTTAACCTAAGTGCCAATCTTCACATTTTTAAATTGCAAATTACTTTTCTAAATCACTTAAAAAATATCCTTGAAATTTCACATGTCAACAGCTCATTAATATCTACAGTAAATGTAGCTCTGAAAAGAACCACAGATTTTACGTTTATTGAGACAGATAGCTGGCACAGAGAAATAGAGCTCCTTCAATTACTATTTGGCAGAAGCTAACTTTAGTTTAAAATCAGTCTACAGGAATTTATGGCAACACTGCAGTGAAGTGACTATTTTGAATAAGATTAGCTACTGGTGATGGCGATGCTTGGACAGTGTTTATAAATCAACCTTAGAACTCAGTATTTTATAATAGGCCACTTCAAAACTATCTTCCATAATCACCTATGCAGTATATTATGATAAATGCAAACATGGCTGGAGATTAAAAGTAATAAAATGATGCACACAAGGTAACAAGTGCAAGCAAACTATAAACAAAGACTTTATCCATATACTTTTTCTATAATGTGTGCCTAACTTAACTCAGACCTTTGTAGAGAACAAAAGATGAATCAAAGTAGCACACTTAATATGAACAAGTATTTCTGTAACCCCAAATCTTATTTTCTTATACTCTGAAAAAATTTTAAACTCGTGATTCTTCAAGAAGGGAAAAACGTATTTTGTTGAAAAGTGATATTCTGAATAGAATTCACAATTATATTGCTGCCTCGGTAAAATGAAACCTGAAAATTCATCTAGAAATGAGTCAATTAATCTGGACATCTAGTAGATAAAATTAAGATGTTTAAATTCAGATAAATCTCTAGCAAGCTTTCCAAGACTTTTCACTTAAAATTCAAATGGTATCCGGATGGGGGCTTTCTAATGGTTCTTGTAGGCTTTTTTGCAAGAGTACTAACTTAAACATGAAAGGCAGATGGCTTAAATGCCTTAAATTCACTATTTATGGGGAAGGGGTTGTGCAGCATAAACATTTCTCCTTTTTTTTCCCCAAGATATATATTTTAGACCATGATTCAATGACCACATGCATCAATTAAAACAGCAACTATTAATATGGGTGAAGGACACCTTGGTTAAAAACACCTTCCCCTGACCTTAGCATGCACTAGAGCTGGAAAGTAACTTCACAAGAGAAAGGAATCTAAAGAAGAAACCTTAATTTTCATCATAAAAACAAAAGCATGTGTGAATGTAAATGAGCGTATTTAAGTGAAAACAGTAATAAACAAAATCTGTATTTCGCAGTTCTAATTGCCTCCTCCTTTGAGATTTATGAAAGGCTCTTCATTGTAGCTAAAAACAAGCATGGATAGAAGTGTTGCGGTTTAACCTCAGCCAACAATTAAGCACCAGCCACTTACTCATCAGCCCATGTAGGTTGAGATAAAGATACATCAATAGGTAAAGCAAAAGCTGCACAAAACCAAACAAGGAATTCATTCACCACTTCCCATCGCAGGCAGATGTTGCCACCCCCAAGACAGCAGGGCTCCATCACACATTATGGTTACTTGGGAAGACAAACACCATTACTCCAAATATCGACCCCTTCCTCTCCCCCAGCTTACCATGCTGAGCATGACATCCTGTGATGTGGGATATCCCTGGGGTCAGCCGGGATAAGCTGTGTCCCCTCCCAACTCCTTATGCATCCCCAGCCTCCTCACTGGTGGGGTGTGAGGAGCAGAAATGGCCTTGTGTTTGTGTAAGCGCTGCTCAGCAGTAATTAAAACACCCATGTATGATCAACAGCTTCCAGCACAGATCCAAAACACAGCCCTACACCAGCTACTATGAAGAAAATTAACTCTATCCAAGCCAAAATCAGCACAAAAAGAAATCAAAGTTCCAGTGGCTATTACAGACTTTGGTAAGCAATGAATGTGAAAAACTGAAACATAAGTGTTCATTTGACAAAATCTAAGTAGTCTACTGGTAACATATGCATCAAGCTTTAAATCCAAATGTGACTGTTTTATTCATTCCATATCTGTTTATTCTAAAATAAATGGTTCAATATTCTGGTTAGCAATCTAATACAAATGAGATACTAATAAAACATTTTGTCATGAAATGATAATGGTTCTGGTAACAATTCTGACAAAAACAGAATAAAACATTTTGTCATGAAATGATAATGGTTCTGGTAACAATTCTGACAAAAACAGAATGGGTTAATTATTATGAAGAATGCTAACAGAGGACACTAAACCTGCAACCGTTCCTGTCTGAATGGAAGAAGGTGCCATCAACAGCACCCTTGACCACATCATTTATGTTTCAAATTACTGAGCCAGCATGCAAAAATTGCTGTTCTACTGATGGCTATAACACCCCAAAAATAAGGTAGAGACAGAAGCTAAGATTACTTGATGCCAGATGAGTGCAAAACACAGCTCCCTAAGGGCATGCTGACATAGACACAGATATACTTCTAGACAGTTTAATTCCTAAAAAGGAAAACTGTTGGAGTAACTTACGAATCAACATGAAGAACTCTCTGGCCACTTCTAGCACATGCCGCTGCAATAATAGATTCAGGCAAACCTGAAAGGACACATGCAATTTTTAGAACTCAGTATGCCAAGATATATTAAAAATTTAAGCAGAGTTAGAAGTTGGTCAGAAACAGGCGATTTAAATAAAATAAAGTTTATAATATGAGTCACTGATACTCTCATGCTGTAAAAACAATGAAACGCTGTTTCATGTTAAATAATTGTATGGTGCATCTCACTTGCAAACAGGACTAGCTCTGAGTTAAAGCTTGTCACCAGCATCTTCTCCAGACACCTTGCTATCATAAACAGATTGTGCACCCGCCGGCACAATGATACCCAAATTGTAATGGGATGCTCTGTAACTGTATCCCTCCTGATACAGATAAGCATTATCTGAGGTCATTTCTGTTTTATTTTTGGTCACTTCAAAGTGGCTGATGTAATGTGAAGACTGAGCAACAATCCATTAAAACTGTGTTTTAAAATAAGGAAATTTATGGTAAAGTGCTGCATACCCTGCTATGCTGTCCAAGGATGCATCAGAGAGCATGAAGGCATCAGCCTCTTAGGATGGCATTAAACAATTGCTTACAGCAGACGGCAGAATCCAGCACAGCACCATATCCTCCATAACATCTGTTGGCAAACATCTCCAGTGTGAACAGACCTCACAACTCCATCGGGGCTTGGCTTCCGAGTAAACTAACTGCTTTGCTCCAAACGACTGCCCAGGAGCACACTCAATACTGTATGCAGACCAAGACCTGAGTGTAAACATTAAAACTAAACTGACAGTGCAGGTGTACTTTCATTTCACATTCAAGGGTGGTGTTAGGGACAGAACACATGTGAAACAGCTGTCCTTAACGTGGTAACCCTATCAATGTCTCACATCACACAATTACTCTTGTCAACTCAGTATGTTTTTACTACACTCAGAAGATCAATAGTACAAACAAAAACAAACAAAACAACCAATCAACCAAAACCCCCAAAGAAACTCCAAAAAACAAGCAAACAAACCAAAAGCCAAACACCAAAAGTCCAATGATATTTCTCTACCAGCAAAACCCACTTGGAATGGCACATGAACACAATTGGAAAGTCATTAAATGAGGCTGTTCTCTAGTTCCTACTCCCACTCACCAGATTTTTACATGAAGTTAGATGACTTGGATTTCTTAATAGATTCAGAAAAAGCAGTATAACTCAGTCTCTAAAAAGCTGTATGGCACTAGCTTTGCTGAAATCTCTTTTTAAATTATCTACTGGCTGTTTAAGCAGGTAAATCAGTAAAAGCGATTAAAATCTAAGGGACTAGGTATTAGCAGACACTTAGGCTGCATATTCAATTAAGGGATGAGATTAAACAAAGTGAAAGGAGTGTTCCGCTGATCTGATTTACAGCACAGCACCAGAAGCAGCTGTGCCACTACAACTGAGGAGAGGCAGAACTGAGAGCAGAAAAAGCAGGTGTGGTAGGGCACAAACTTCTCTATCTAGATTTGAGCCAAACATCATCTGCATGAGAATTTCAGGCCTGAAGTTGTCTGTTTCTTCAAAAAGAATACTGCCCTCACAAACACATGAAATGTCTGTTGCCATCTGATGATTCATTTGAAACACATAATGCAGTACATTAGAGGTTACTGGACAACTATTTGCTCCTTGTAAGGTATCAGTTACCTCAAGTAACAAGCCGTTAGACATTCAGGAGATATTAAGTACAATTTAACACTCAAAGATGGGGAAAAATAACTTCAAATGTTTGAGCTAGTCTTTAGTAATTCTAGAACCTGAAGTGCAGTCTAGAAAACACCCAGATGGACTTTGATACACAAAACCACAGCTTCAAATTCTTTAAGCCAGCAAAGGCAAAACACAACGACCAAAATTAAGAGGTTCAACCTGCTTATCCTCATCTTCAGCCATTTCTGACCTCCTCTCACATCAACTACATGGGAAGGTTTCAGCAGACTAGTTTCATGGTGGTGTTGACAGTCCAAAAGTAAAACATTTGTATCAATAGACAAGGAGGGTTAACACAGACATGAGGAAATTTCCAGGGAAATAGTTACAACTTCCCTGCAAAATTTCCGGGTTAAACACCCTATTTTAATGGATTAAAAGAAGAAAATCCCTTTCTGAATTGCTAACACAGAAAAAGTTACAATGGTTTCGCATTGCCAAACTTCCAAAGCAAATGAAGGCTTATTATGGAATTATTCTTTGGATGTAAGAAGAGGGATTGAAAAATGGCATCAGTCCTTGGGACACTTGTCTCACAGCCCAGAAAGGCCAACAGTCTTCAGAGCTGAATTTTTTAAAGAACTCAAAACACAGACCATGCTGAACAAGGAGACAAGGAGAAAGTCTGCAATGGCAGCACAAGCTTCAGGTTGTCATAAGGTCCTGGATGCACACAGCCTTATTCTGTGAACGCAACTCCATGTTCCGCTGTCATCTGAAAGCATTCACGTTTCATTGCTCTCCTACAAACTATCTGGAATAGAATCTACAGCTCCTATTTTGTTTGTAGTTCCTGAAAAAGGCTTTCTTTCCCTCATTTGGGCACAAAGAATATTACTTCAGAAATGGAATTGAGAAACTTTTTCTCCTTCCTTATTGATAAAAGCCACTGAGAAAGTGTTGTAAAACATCCCCAGTGCTGCCTGGCTGACCAGGACTGAAGTTATAGCTACTAGGGCATAACTGATTGCTTTAAGCTTGATCCAATTGATACTGTGTTGGAGGTCTGTTCTTCCATTAACCTTGGGTGAAATTGTTCCCTGAATTAGCTTCCTTGCTCTTGAAAGCTGGCATCAATTTTCTTCACCAACCCTTTGCTTATAAGATACTGTGGTCCCCTCAAGTACCCGCTGGCAACAACAGAATGAGAAAGTGTAGGAAGGCAAGGCCTATGCATTTTAGCTTTTGGAGGGGCTCTTGTAACAACCTGATGAAGTAAGACACCATTTATTCTTACATGACAAAACCCCAGTAAACCAAAGAAATAAGACTGTGCCTTGGCTCTAGTTCCCGACTTTTTTTCTCCAACAGACATAAAAGCACACTGAAAATAGGTAGCTTTTTCAAATGCAAGTTACTCCTACATGTGATCTGGACTACATGATGGTTACTTTATAGTAGCCCTTTCCAAGAAAGAAGGCTCTGGCAAACTATTATAATATAGTTATAGAGAGTCCCTCTTTAGCCAAGAAAAAATAACTAACTTGGAAAAGCCTACTTAGAGAAACTGTAAGGATTTATTTAATGACATCATGTGAAGCTGAACTATCTTCTACAGGATGCTCACACAGTTGTGCAAAATAGGATCCCTTCAGATTATTCAGTAAGAGAAATATATTGTTTTTATAAATTGTTCCTATTTGGAAGCAGTTCCCTATTCAGAACTTTGACTTTTCAAAAACTCTAAGATGGATTATAATAAAATCTTGAATTGTGTTCAGACCCTTGCTATGGGCCAGTGTAGACTCCAAAACTCTCTCACAGCTTGGTTCAAAGATAATGATTTATTACAGAATCCCGGGGGAAAGGTTATAACCCTAGTGATGATTCTGAAGTTTCACTTATGCTTAATGAGTAAATAATGCTAGTTATCTCTAAGAAGGATTATTCTAACACTTTCTGCCACTCATCCTTCTTGGGGGACAGTCAGCTTCTTGTTCTGCCAGCTTAAGGGATGAAGGACTAAGCACAGGTTGTAACCTGTGTCACTGATAACACTTCATGGGTTTGAACTATCTGGATCCGATAATTTGGATCAAAGAACAGCAAGATCTAAATGAAAATGTACATTTCCTTTTAGACTATTTAAAAATAAATAAGTATCTAAGATTATAGTACTATCAAAATCGATAATCAAATTACTGAATTATCAAGATATCTGCCCTCCAATATAATCAATAGTAACCAGTACTTTCATGCTAAGCTATCATGCATGTTAATGTGAAACACAGCATGCATCCCATCTTACTGTACCAGAAATGAAAAATGCCACTCCAAAAGAATGTTTTCTCAAATTAAGATTCCAAATCCAGACAATTTCTAGATTGGCAGGCAATTAGAAGTCTAAATAGGAATCCCATGCCCCAAACACAAGAAAGCAGCAACAGACCTAGATTTCAGTATGCTATATATAAACATCTGGCAGCATAAGAGGGATTTATGTAGAGGAATAAGGAGTCCATACAATCCTTCTATCAATTTAATATGCTGACTCTGAAGCACTTGAGGCAGAATCAGATCAGAAATAGCAGTGCATGTTATCAAGAAGTATAAACACTTTCTGAGCTTTCTAGCCCTTTCATATTCCCCCTTGAGAATACTTACACATGAAGCATTTGCATTATGTTGTCTTGCACCTAATTTTCCTTACCAGGAAAAACAAAGACAAAGAGTTTTCCTTCATGAAGGAGGCCTGATCAGTACCAGTTGAAATCTTATCATCATTCCTTAAAGCCATTGCCTTCGTTCTCCACTGACTAACCTCCATTTACCAGATGTGGTATTAAGTCAATTAGTCTCTCTGGGCTTTTCAAGGAAACACTGATTTAAAATTTCAGTGAAGCAGGACATCACATTTGCAGACAGATAGAAAAATACGCATAAAAATTGAGATTTTGCTCATTACTGATATCTTGGTCACTAACATGTTCTAATAGGTAGAATTTCATAGGTACTTCTTGGCACCTACCCAGAAAAGATGTGCATTCCTACAAACACATGACACTGCCACACTGAAATACAAGTGCAAAGTCAAAGTGAACCAACTAGGTCTTTCTAAGGTTGGTCCAGGAAGAGTACTGACTTGTAAGTACTTGTAAGTACATACCTGCCCTTCTCCGGACTTCTTGCAACCTGTTGGGAAGGTACTGAAAAAACTTGGCAAGCAGATCAAACTGTAACAAGCTGGCTCTGCTTAGAGAAGCAAACATGCAGACATGGCTAAC